ATCTTCGTCAAGGTCAAATAAATGACTGATAGGCTGGTCCACGAGGGGTTCCTGGACACGACAATCAAGGCGACTTGCCCTAAGGGTCATGTCGCACTTCAACAGCACGGAGCGCCCCCCAACAACGCCGCTGCCGTCCAAACCAAACTGACAGAGGAGCTCGGCGGACCAGATCACCGTGGTGAAATGAGATTAGGCCACCTTATTATCCCAGCCTTAACCCGCTCGACTAAGGCATGCTACGCGTTTTGCAGAATAAGCTCTAGGCCACCTCTCATCCCAGCCTGGAGTCCCTGAACACTCGCATCATGACAGCATGGGAGGACAGGAAATGTCCTGCACCGTCAAAACCCGCAGGCGTTTCCGCCCTTGCGTCGAGGCCGTCGTCGGCACAGACGGTGGTTACAATGAATGGGCACTTAGCAGAAGGATGTGGCTTGGTGTTCCTGGTCATTGTTTCGTTCTATTGTTGAGTATCTATGGACCAAAGGCATTTATCTTAACAATGTTGAAAAGCGCCAGGACTTTCCGGACACCCTGTAGATGAAGCCTGAATGGTGGTTTGTAGGCTGATAGGTTGGAGGTTGAAGGTTAGTAGGGAAGGTAAGGTGAGGATAATTTCTGCTTTTTATTTTCATTGGACTTCAGTCTTAATCAACACACGCATCAAAAATATCATCTATTTGAGCATCTTCAAGCCTCAATATACAGCAAGTTGTACAACAAATTAAAAATTGATGTCATGCCAACATATGGTCATGATTTTTACCACCAGAATTGAATTAACCCGCGCCCCACTGGGGGGGGCTATTTATAGCCCCCCCTCCCGTTTTTCTGCAATAACTTCCAAACCGCTTGACGGATCGACGCCAAACTTTCAGTACCTTCGGCTGCATCAATTTGACACCTTGTGTCAAAATTTAAACTTCGTAGCTACCATAGGTCGGCCGGAAATGACGTCAGAGTGACGTCATGTTCGTCCGATTTCGACGCAAAACATTGAACCACGGCAATCGCTCCCAAGAGCTCAGTTTTTAAGCTAGATCCAATTTCTTTGCATGAAAGGACTCAGAATTGACCGCGCTATCAAACTGCTATCTCTGATTTTCAAAATTTTGAAAATTTCGAAAATTGTATATAATAATATTCAAATTTATATTTTTATATTTTTTCAAAAAGTTTTTGACTTTTCGAAAAAACCGGAATATATGTGACAGAATGCATGATTATGACTAACTCTAGCAAGTTTTAGCTAAATATCTTCAAAAATGGCCAAGTTATACGCATTATTGCAAAAAATTAACAATTATTAATTTTTCAAATCAATTTTTCAGTACGTATTTGACATCGTACACCAATATAAATGGCACCATCGTGTTCCTGAGCTCAAACTGCATCCAATAGACACCTTTTTTGTTGAAAAATGTTAACTTCAAAATTTGACCTTTTTTGACCTGAAAGTGACCTGACCTAAGCTAAATTCGACTCCAAATGACCTCGAATGACACAGACGACATCAAATTCGAAATCTATGGCCTAAATGGACCATAAAACATGTGTCACGTGACCGACGCATGATATAATATTTTCGTGACCTGTGATGACCTGACCCTGACCTGAAAATCAAAGTACAAGTTTGGTACCCTCAAGGTATCTAGAGCATCTGTTCACGAGTGTGGAAACCAAAAATGAGCCTGATCTGACTTGTAAGACGGCGGCCAGAGCCCAAAATGTGAACAAGCCAAAATGCTAATAATTTTTACTTTGACCTGACCTGTGACGTCATCGGTGACCTCGAGGTCAATGAAATTAGGTTTCGCTCGACAGTTTTTCCGGGGCTATCAGACGCCGTTTGAATTTTGACGATCGGCCCAGTAGTTTCGGAGTTAGGAGGGGGGGCTATGAATAGCCCCCCCCCCCCCAGTAGGGCGTGTTATACACAGACCCCAGTGGGGCGCGGGTTAAATGCCTATTGATGCTTTACCTAATATTTTGAAGCCTGAAATCTGATTAACCAAACATTTTTTTTTTCTTGTGTTGGCAGTCTAAAATTTGGCTGGCTTGAGCGCGATGCTATTGCTCTAGCAGAATCTCAAACGGATGTCTACCAAGTGCCACTCCCAAGAAAGTTTTTCAAGATTCTAAAACCACAAACTTAGTTGATGCCTGATCATGTGATGGTAAATCAAATACCTAATAGCACTCCATCTGAGGCCAGTTTTACAAACAGAAAATAGCCACCTGCCGGATTATTTTGCCTAAAGGCTAATTCACATATGGAGTATAAATGGTGAAGCCCTCCCTGCTTACCTACATGCCTATCGCGTTTACCCTCTGTATGTTGTACCTACGTGGAATGGATATATGAGGAGAAAAATTCCAGGCAGCTATTTTTGTTGGTAAATCGGGTAAAGTAATACTGGCCTCTGAACGAAAATTTGGACTGAGTGAGATCTGTCGTTTCTTTGGTGGTTTGGATAGGAGTTGATGATTTTAATTGGAAGATTAAAAGGAAAGGGTTTCAAGACAATCGGCATGACAAACCAACACCTTACCTGCAGTTCAAGTTTGTCGATTTCTTCATCAAAATCTAGTCTTCGTCTAGTCCACAAATCAAGATAAAATTACTGGATAGGTACAACTTCTTCTTCTTCTCCTTCTGCACCTCACCTGCCACCCCCTACACTTCTACCTTATTCTGATAAATATCTTTACATAATTTTCACAAGAATGCCACTCAACTGGTTACGGGGTAGATCTAAAAGAGTGCAGGGCTTCAGTTTTGAGCTATAGAGTTCTCAGTGATTTTGAGACACCCAATATGTCTTTGGCACGCCGTATTTGTCTCTCACCGCCTGCGAATTCGGCGATATGATTGGTCGAAGGCCGAGGCTATGGGTCCAAGAAAAGGCCAAGATTCCTGCCAAGATTCTTACAGATAGCCAAGGTCGATGACTGACGTGACTGACGGCATGTTACTGCCCTTGGCATATTGCCAATGCACTGCTCCGTCATATCCGCAGTAATGTCAACAGTCATATCGGAAGTAATATGGTAGCTATACGCAAAAACCATTTGATGTATGGCTACCATACTTTTCCGATAACGAGACATTCTAGATCAATCTCTCTACTGTTGGCGACATCTGCTGAGAAATCCCAAGACCGAACGCAAGCACATAAAAGTAATGCACTCTATGGATGCGTTCGAAATCTGGGAAGTGACGGATTTCATTTCTCAATGCGTGTCCCAGCCTTCCCCATGCTGTTCGTTCCGCCTGCCGCCATCTATTGCCATGTTTCGCATTCGCACTTCATGAATTGACCACCCCGCCAAGTAGGTTGGTATCAAGTTGGTATAGGTGTCGCATTGCTCTGGTCGATCAGGCTGAGCCAGCTGTCTGGAGAGTGGAGCCGATCAAAAAAAAAAAAAAAAAAACGCAGAAATTCAAAAGACCGACTCCAAAGCAATGGCAGCATGCATATCAATAGAACGTAATTCTGTCATGATTGCGTCAGAAGCAAACATAATGGCAAGAGTTTCTTGTGTGTCGGTAGGCGCGTGTGGAGCCGCTGGACCGACCGGGGACGTACAGAAGGGGGGACGGACGGGGTGCGCCTCCCTGTAGGGGTTTTCAGGGCCCATGCTGGCAGAAGGCCCACGTTGGCCAAAATCACGTCGGAGACGAACGAAATTCATGGGAATCCCCAAAAAAATTACGTCAGGACAATCAAGGCTCTCCGACTCGCCTGCCACCTAGGGTCCTTCAATTTACTACATGGGGCCTCCTGTGAATAACCGCTAGTGTCTGTGTCTGACCACTAGGGCCCCTCTGACTCCTCGGGTAGAGGGCCCTCTGTAGGTAGGAGGCTCTCTCTACGGGATTCCTCCGCTCCCCCCCCCCCCCTCGGCCAAATTCTAGGTTATACGTGCCTGCGCTAAGCCGGAGTCGGAGAGAGGAGTTGACGACCGAATGACAAGGAGTAGGGTAGCCTGGGGCAAGACGCCCCAGATAATTTATTTTGCTGCATAAATTTTGTCCCACATCACATGGAAGGCCAAATTTGTGCGCAATGCGTTCTTTGGACATTTTACTTTAAATTGCACCCCTCAAATTCATTCACTTATGATCGGACTCCAAGCTAGGAAGTGATTTATGAAGCAACTGCAAATGGAGCATTTTGCCCCAACCCCAGGGCAAAACGCCCCACGGCCTGGGGCAAGTAGCCCCATACTTTAGATTACAGATTTAACATGGTAGTTGGCTTAATCTTATGTGAGAGGTCCGTTAGACCTCTGGAGGCACGGCTCTTAAGTTAGCACATTCCATCCTGTCAGGTGTTCAGCTATGACACTATTGTATGAACAGGTTTTTCACCTGCCTCATAAGACCAAATAATAAATTATTGCAATGCAAATGTCTACAGAATGCTTCCTTTGCCATCCATTTGCTGAGAAAAATACACATAAAGGCATAGAAACTTACTGTTCGCCAGCTACCGAACATTAGAAAGTGGGTAGCCCAAACAACACATGAGGTAAAACGCCCCATGGGGCTTTTTGCCCCGCGACCTACTGGGGCGTTTTACCCCATCACGTAGTTCGATCAGAGAACAACGCTTTGCACTCCAGCAAGCCATAATTTAACACGAACCAACCCGGCATGATAAGCGTTAGACAATAGTTATTCAAAATACATAAAAGTCGTTAACCTGATGTGGACCATAAAAGAACGCCATGATGCATAATCTGACAACAAAACATAAAAATCGCTCAAAAAACACATTTTTGGCTATATCTCCCGAAAGAGTCATCACAATTTCTTTCCAGTCTGCTCATATAATGATCATATAGTGCACGTTTTATAGAAGAGAGGATGTTTCCCCAGAACTCTGCCAGTTCCGAGAAACATCGGTGAGGCGTTTTACCTCGGCGGGGCGACTTGCCCCGGTCTACCCTACTCGTCCTGAAAGTAAACATTTGGAATACAAACAATCCAAAGCTGTTCAGTATTTATTAGTGAAGTCAATTATAGAAAATATGAATACCAATTCCAAACCAAATACCAACATAAACCGTGAAGAAATACCGATACCGAACCAACTTCATAACATGAGGGAAATACCGACTTTTAACCAATTTCTCAGCCTCTTATACATAAGTGAGGGTTCATAATACCAAAAAATACCAAGTACATTAGGATTGAAATACCAAATACCAAGTTGGTATCGGTTTGGTATCGGTATACCAAAAAATTGGCATCCGATTGACATCTCTAGTATTTATATCATTCGAGAGCAGTGCCTTCAATTTGGATACACTTAGCATTCATTTCCCACACCCGTGTACACTCCACGAAGGCTTCTCCGCTGCGGACTCCCGCTTCCGCCGATGCGTCAGTTCATACCCTGATGGCTTGCTGGGGAGGGTGGCCAAGTGTCGCTGTGCCGCCAGGTGTAGTTCATCAGCCGAGGCGTCGCGCTGCAGTGTCCCGATGTCCAGCCTGAAGGTGAAGTCTGGGAAGGCGGCCACCTCCCTCGGCGGAGCACTGGCATGCAACCAGCGGGGTCGAGCGGCAGGGCGATCCCAGCCGCTCGCCAGGTTTCGTGCCCCACCCCACGCCAGCCCGTCATCGACTTCAGTCGGCTGGGCGGCCCATTTTCCGCGATAGTCCTGAGGGCTTGCCCTCGGGGAGCGCGTGCGCCTTGGCGAAGAGCTTCGCTACCAGCACGTCTCGCCGGGCGGCCAGCGGGCACCGGCATCAGTCCGGACTCCGCCGTCACTGCGTGGGCTGGGGGTAAACAAGGGGCAGCCGGTGATATACGGGTCACCGCCCGCATCTCCCTCTGGAGGAGTTCCACGTGGGATTGTGGCGTCACCAGGAGCCAGGTGGCGGCCGCGTGCACCAGCACTCCACGGACGTATCCAGACGCTACAGCGCAGAGCTGTCGTTCCTCTAGTCCCCAGCCCCGCGCTGTCAGCTTGCGAAGCTGCTGGATGCCGGGCGCACTCGGGAGCGGAGACTGCGGCAATGGGCCCCGAAGTGAAGGAGCAGGTTGAGGGGGTGGCTCCGAGTAGTTTGAGACGGTCGGCTGCTGGAGCCGACTTTTCGTCGACTTTGATGGCGCAGTCCACGGCGTCCGCGGCGCTCTAGGAGACGACGAGCAGCTGCGTATTTCACCCGCTACCAGCATCTTGGACTGTTTTGCCCAGCGCAACACAGCGTACGTCGCCTGCCGCGTCCGGCCCCAGTTCAGTATCGTCTGTTTCCATTAACACTCTGAAATGACAAAATAATTAGCCATTAAAATCAAAGTTCAGCACTGACGAAGTTTAACCAAACTTGCCATTTCAACATAACACAGTGAGCTGTCAGAATGCTGTTCTTTTGTGCTTTGACACAGTTGCAAAATAGGTACCTTCATACGTATATCATAGAAGTAATTACTGGTTATTATTATTGGAGGATTTTTTGCAGCATTCTCGTCAAGTAAAATACATTATCTTCTTTATAAGGACCATAGTGTGAGGTGTAAATACAGTCTGTAAGGTTGTCCAGACTAATTGTGCCCCTATTTGTACGGCCTGGGCTGGAACATGTACTGTTCGCATGTTTGCACGTTCACTTTGGATTAATCTGGCATGCTAAGCGAATGCGATGGCAGCGCCTTGCATTGCTTGCATGCGGTGGTTGGCATTGTTGGGAAGTGTTCTAACTATCTGTTTGTCCCGCTTTGCCCACAGCGTCGACTGGGTTGAATATACTTGTATTTCTGAGTGAACAGTTTCTCACATTTGGAGGCAGCCATTCAACCCAGTCTAGAACCCTTTCTTGCTTCCGAAGACGCTTGAGGTGGCAGAATTCCAGCAAGTCAATGAGTTTTTGTGATAGCGTGGAGGAAAAAGTTCACTCTCTGTAAAGTAGCGGCCAAGGAGCCACGGACACAGGACATGGCGTGTGCCCCTGTTAAGCCAGACAGATTTAATGGATCTGGTGATGTGGAAAGATTCTTGGCCCATTTTGAAGTGGTGTCAAAAGCCAATGAGTGGTCAGAACAAAAGCAGTTCCTGCAGCTCCCTGCCTGCCTGACTGGACCAGCTTTTGATTTTTATCGCCAGTTGCCTGCCATGGAGTGTACTGACATTCACACACTGAAAAAGGCGCTCAAAGCTGAGTATCATACACCAGCTCTCCCTACAGATTATGCCATCATGCTGTCCAAGCGTTCACGCATGCCTGGAGAAACTGTCATGCAGTATGGCGAGGCTTTGAAGAGCCTTGGCAGGAAAGCATATGCTGCCTTCAGTGAAGAACAGTTGGGAACTGTTTGTCGCTCCACATTTCTGAACAATGTTGATGAAGCTATGAGAGTGCAGTTGCTACTGACCCTGAAGGAAACAGAAAGTTACAGGGACCTACTGCAAGGAGCTCGACAGCTGGAGCAGGTAATGGGACCTCGTGTACGTCATATTGAGGAACAGTCTCAAGAGCACCGCCTGGAGGATGAGGTATCCAAGCTGTCCCTGGTTGTGGCGAATCTGGAGAAGAAGGTGGATGCACTCCAGGCAGGACGACAGGAAAGGACTCACAGACGTTCACCGCCGGGGCCGTGTCCGAACTGTGGCCTGGAGGGACACTGGCGTAGGGAATGTACCAAGCCCAGTAAGGATCGACAGCAGACAAGTGCTGCAGAGGTTATTTGCTTCAAATGCAATACGCCTAGACATTTTGCTAAGGGCTGCGCGGCCCATTTTCAGTAGGCGCGGCTGGCGGGGGTGGGCGGAGAGTGATTCGTACCTCTGTACGTCCGCTTTACCCCGAGTCGGCCGCGCCTTGCAGCTGGAGCGCGGATTACCTGAACGGTGATGTTGTGTCGTCCTCCGTATGGAGGCCGGCCGCGGCGGCCCGCGGCTCGTCGGTGCGTGGATCTTGGAGCCGGCCCGCTCCGGCCGGCGGCTCGTCGGCGCTGGAGTCCAGTAGCGCGCCTGCTGCGGCCGGCGGCTCGTCGGTGCGTGAATCCTGGAGCGCGCTCGCTACGGCCGTCAGCTCGTCGGCGCTGGAACCCTGGAGTCCGCCCGCTGCGGCCGGCGGCTCGTCGGCGCTGGAGTCCAGAAGCGCGCCTGCTGCGCTCGGCTGCTCGTCGGCGCCGTACCCCCGCGGCGCGCCTGCTGCGGCCGGCGGCTCATCGATGCTGGAACCCTGGAGTCCGCCCGCTGCGGCCGGCGGCTCGTCGGCGTTGGAGTCCAGTGGCGCACCTGCTACTCTCGACTACTCGTCGGCACCGGATCCCCGTGGCGCGCCCGCTGCGGCCGGCGGCTCGTCCGCGCTGGAGTCCAGAAGCGCGCCTGCTGCGCTCGGCTGCTCGTCGGCGCCGGACCCCGGTGGCGCGCCTGCTGCGGCTGGCGGCTCATCGATGCTGGAACCCTGGAGCCCGCCCGCTGCGGCTGGCGGCTCATCGATGCTGGAACCCTGGAGTCCGCCCGCTGCGGCCGGCGGCTCGTCGGCGCTTGAGTCCAGTGGCGCGCCTGCTACGCTCGACTGCTCGTCGGCGCCGGACCCCCGTAGCGCGCCTGCTGCGGCCGGCGGCTCAACGGCGCTGGAGCCTCGGGGCGCGCCTGCCGCGGCCGGCGGCTCGGCGCTGGAACCTCGGGGCCCGCCTGCTGCGCTCGGCTGCTCGTCGGCACCGACCCCCGTGGCGCGCCTGCTGCGGCCGGCGGCTCATCGGCGCTGGAGTCCAGTAGCGCGCCTGCTGCGCTCGGCCGCTCGTCGGCGCCGGACCCCGGTGGCGCGCCTGCTGCGGCTGGCGGCTCATCGATGCTGGAACCCTGGAGTCCGCCCGCTGCGGCCGGCGGCTCGTCGGCGCTTGAGTCCAGTGGCGCGCCTGCTACGCTCGACTGCTCGTCGGCGCCGGACCCCCGTAGCGCGCCTGCTGCGGCCGGCGGCTCAACGGCGCTGGAGCCTCGGGGCGCGCCTGCCGCGGCCGGCGGCTCGGCGCTGGAACCTCGGGGCCCGCCTGCTGCGCTCGGCTGCTCGTCGGCACCGACCCCCGTGGCGCGCCTGCTGCGGCCGGCGGCTCATCGGCGCTGGAGTCCAGTAGCGCGCCTGCTGCGCTCGGCCGCTCGTCGGCGCCGGACCCCGGTGGCGCGCCTGCTGCGGCTGGCGGCTCATCGATGCTGGAACCCTGGAGTCCGCCCGCTGCGGCCGGCGGCTCGTCGGCGCTGGAGTCCAGAAGCGCGCCTGCTGCGCTCGGCTGCTCGTCGGCGCCGTACCCCCGCGGCGCGCCTGCTGCGGCCGGCGGCTCATCGATGCTGGAACCCTGGAGTCCACCCGCTGCGGCCGGCGGCTCGTCGGCGTTGGAGTCCAGTGGCGCACCTGCTACTCTCGACTACTCGTCGGCACCGGATCCCCGTGGCGCGCCCGCTGCGGCCGGCGGCTCGTCCGCGCTGGAGTCCAGAAGCGCGCCTGCTGCGCTCGGCTGCTCGTCGGCGCCGGACCCCGGTGGCGCGCCTGCTGCGGCTGGCGGCTCATCGATGCTGGAACCCTGGAGCCCGCCCGCTGCGGCTGGCGGCTCATCGATGCTGGAACCCTGGAGTCCGCCCGCTGCGGCCGGCGGCTCGTCGGCGCTTGAGTCCAGTGGCGCGCCTGCTACGCTCGACTGCTCGTCGGCGCCGGACCCCCGTAGCGCGCCTGCTGCGGCCGGCGGCTCAACGGCGCTGGAGCCTCGGGGCGCGCCTGCCGCGGCCGGCGGCTCGGCGCTGGAACCTCGGGGCCCGCCTGCTGCGCTCGGCTGCTCGTCGGCACCGACCCCCGTGGCGCGCCTGCTGCGGCCGGCGGCTCATCGGCGCTGGAGTCCAGTAGCGCGCCTGCTGCGCTCGGCCGCTCGTCGGCGCCGGACCCCGGTGGCGCGCCTGCTGCGGCTGGCGGCCCATCGATGCTGGAACCCTGGAGTCCGCCCGCTGCGGCCGGCGGCTCGTCGGCGCTTGAGTCCAGTGGCGCGCCTGCTACGCTCGACTGCTCGTCGGCGCCGGACCCCCGTAGCGCGCCTGCTGCGGCCGGCGGCTCAACGGCGCTGGAGCCTCGGGGCGCGCCTGCCGCGGCCGGCGGCTCGGCGCTGGAACCTCGGGGCCCGCCTGCTGCGCTCGGCTGCTCGTCGGCACCGACCCCCGTGGCGCGCCTGCTGCGGCCGGCGGCTCATCGGCGCTGGAGTCCAGTAGCGCGCCTGCTGCGCTCGGCCGCTCGTCGGCGCCGGACCCCGGTGGCGCGCCTGCTGCGGCTGGCGGCTCATCGATGCTGGAACCCTGGAGTCCGCCCGCTGCGGCCGGCGGCTCGTCGGCGCTGGAGTCCAGAAGCGCGCCTGCTGCGCTCGGCTGCTCGTCGGCGCCGTACCCCCGTGGCGCGCCTGCTGCGGCCGGCGGCTCATCGATGCTGGAACCCTGGAGTCCGCCCGCAGCGGCCGGCGGCTCGTCGGCGTTGGAGTCCAGTGGCGCACCTGCTACGCTCGACTACTCGTCGGCACCGGATCCCCGTGGCGCGCCCGCTGCGGCCGGCGGCTCGTCGGCGCTTGAGACCAGTGGCGCGCCTGCTACGCTCGACTGCTCGTCGGCGCCGGACCCCCGTAGCGCGCCTGCTGCGGCCGGCGGCTCATCGGCGCTGGAGCCTCGGGGCGCGCCTGCCGCGGCCGGCGGCTCGGCGCTGGAACCTCGGGGCCCGCCTGCTGCGCTCGGCCGCTCGTCGGCACCGGCCCCCCGTGGCGCGCCCGCTGCGGCCGGCGGCTCGTCGGTGCTGGAGTCCGGTGGCGCACCTGCTACGCTCGACTACTCGTCGGCGCCGGACCCCGGTGGCGCGCCTGCTGCGGCCGGCGGCTCATCGATGCTGGAACCCTGGAGCCCGCCCGCTGCGGCCGGTGGCTCGTCGGCGCTGGAGTCCGGTGGCGGGCCTGCTGCGCTCGGCTGCTCGTCGGCGCCGGAACCCCGTAGCGCGCCTGCTGCGGCTCCAGCCGAGGCTGTACAAATAGGGGCACAATTAGTCTGGACAACCTTACAGACTGTATTTACTCCTCACACTATGGTCCTTATAAAGAAGATAATGTATTTTACTTGACGAGAATGCTGCAAAAAAAAAAAATTCTCCAATAATAATAACCAGTAATTACTTCTATGATATACGTATGAAGGTACCTATTTTGCAACTGTGTCAAAGCACATGTAAAACAACCATTCCCGCAATTGCTCCTTCTCGGTGGAATTGGGAGTGGAAAATTGGGCTTGAAAACTGGAGTTGAGAGTGGAAAATGATTTGCATTTGGATGTCGTTTCCCACCCACATCTACAAAGTTTGGGACACTGCGCAGCAGTCAATGCACATTATGGTTCAGTCGCAAGCCTTGCTTTAATCAACGAAAGAAAATTATTTGCTCTATCATGCATCATGAATTAACAAAATTTTTGTTCATTTTTTTTTTACCTTTTCTCATAATTTCATGCACACCTTAAAATCATGAAACTGTAGCGAGCAACTGATTTGAAGATAGAAAAGTCCTTGCTACATTTCTCGACATTATCAAAACATCTTTTTCCAAACATACCTATCAACATCCTGGAAATATGAGACTTAGCAATATATTGAGGTTCCATACCCTTGACAAGGCAAATGCACCAGCTTTTAAACCAAAACAACTTTACCAACTTTTAAATAAATTTGTGACTTCCATTGATACTCCCTTACAAAAAATCATTGTTGTTGCCTGCTGGATCGAAAAGCGAAAGAGCGCCCTCGCCCCTTCCGTGAGACCTGCACAAACTTACCAGGAGTCTGCAGTCAGAACACGACACCGTAATCATATTGAAAAAGGGCATAGCGTATAGAAGAGTAGCAACTAGCGTCTCACTGACCTTAGACCAAAATATTTCTCTTTATGACATCCACGCAAGACCAATGCAATGTATGTAGATAGGCATATCAATACAGAAATGATATGTCCAAATATGTCTTTGCCGCGTCATAGTTGTAACGCACTACGGGGATCTCCAGAGATCTGATTGGCTAATATTAGCCAATCAGTAGCATATGTTACTGGAAACTGTCATAGTGGAAGTAAATTGGTAGCTGTTTCAGCTACCAAATTGATGAAGGAAATAGGGAAAATTGCTTATTTTACACGAACACCAGTCATACGCTAATCAAAGTAGAGCTAATGAAAATGGCATTTTTCCACGAAGGAAAGCCAATTTGCCACGTAAGCCACCATGAATAGATTTGCTGAGCTTGTCATCACGTGTTTTTAACAAAAAAAGTCAATGAAATCATGTAATTTACGAATTTCTAGCACTCACATGCATATTTTCGTCTGCACACCGAATTGCGTCCAGGATATTGGCCATGGCGTATTTCTCGGGAACCCTCTGTTAGTGGAAATTCCACTATCTGGCAACTAGCCCTATGTAAACGCGGCTATTGACAGGGAATGTATATTTGACATCATTATTGCATGATATTTGCCGCGTACAATTAGAAAACTAACATTTTTTTTGGTAAAAAATATCTGCTCTGCTTATCAAGGGTTTTGAAATATTTGTATTGGTTACAAAGCCGAAATGATGGTAAGATGTGCGCCTAGGTAATCGAAATCCGTTATCGCTTCCGCTTGTTGTCTTATCTTCGTTTGATATGTCCACTGATACCTTGGGCCTAAGTTATTGCGTTATTATCTGACAGTTGTAGTCATTTCCTCGAAACAAACATGTAAAATATGGAAAATATAATGTATTTCACGAAAGATTAGCCATAGGGCATCAACAAAGTATAATTACATAAATAAAGAAAAGATTCTTGCAAGAACACTGGAAAATTTACGTTAATCACTAGGAATATTATGCCTTCTTCTTGTTCTTATGTCGTGGCAAATTATTCATGTATTATGTTCCTGGGATATTCCAGTTGTGCCATTCTGAGTTGATATTTTCACACACGATTCTTTTTGAAGTAAGGTGTTTTGATGCATTTTCTTCTATCAATTTCCTTTAGCTTTATCCACAGCAGTAGCGCAATCACTGTTGGGAAATTATGGACAAAACAATTGTATAAAAGTGTCACCAAAACCTGTCGAAACTACTTAGCATGCGGCATGTAGGAAAAATCTTACTGACCTCAGCCGTACGAAATTATTTGGAAACTCGGTTTGCAAAATTCGACTCCGGCCCTCGTGCTTCGCACTCGGGCCTACGTCAATTTTGCAAACCTCGTTTCCAAATAATTTCGTCGGCCCGGTCAGTAATATATAATACTGAACGAGGCCGGTGTAAATAAATTTTCAAGACCGAGGTCCTTACTGAATTTTTGAACGAGGCCGAAGGCCGAGTTCAAAAATCAGTAAGGACTGAGGTCTTGAAAATTTATCACCGGCCGAGTTTGGTATGTATTTTACTGTA